AGAGAGAGAAACTAGACAGTGTGTGCCACCACAGCTCACCTATTACAGCATTCCGCCTGTTTCCTCTCAACTGGGAAAGCCATAAACAAATGTGTGTGTTAGCACACACACACAGCAGCTACAAATCACACAATTAAAATATTATCTACACTCAACACACACCTCCACTCATGTACACATACCCACATAGCAGCTGTCACCTATCCAGCAGCAAACAAACCCAACCTTTGCCATTCCAGGAAAACATCCCAGCCATAATGATGGCGTTTCTTCAAACACATTAAACTCCAGTTGGCAAACTATTGGGGCTGATGCCCTGGTAACTAGTGTCTCTTGAATTCCTGGTCCTCAGAACAAGTTTTGAGAACCATTAACCTCATCAAATGTGTCATTTCACTTGCAGTTAGCTTGAGAAGTTGATATGTGGCGTTGCTGGTATGATGTGTTTAACACCTTACTGTCTGTTTCTGCCACCTCAGGAAGCGGGCGTCTCCCCTACCTAAAGATGAGCAATCGGGTGGGGTTAAAGACTCCCTGCTGGCCAACTCCTCCGACCCAGTGGAGATGAGAAGACTCAACTACCAGACCCCAGGTAATAAACAACGGTCAAAATATCGTACACGTAGCCACATATGGCAACTTTACTTCTTTACCTCAGCTACTACCCTAAAATAAACTTCAGCGTTCATGACATATAGGATGGCTGATAGAGATGGAAAGATTCCTGTTGACAATTTGATGGTTGTGTCAGGATTCAAATACTATGTTATGAAAATACAAAACCGTCTATCACATTTACAACTTGTTGACATGAACGGTATTTACAAGTGGGTATCATGAAGTCTTCATAATTCCAATATGACATGGCAACATAATCAACCTTCAATTGCTCTTAGCGCCATAGTGATAAACTGAGGAAAGTTGTATTGGGCAACTTGGTTGTATATTAAGTGTGTGCATTTTAATCAGGTGTTTTGGTTCAGTCAATCTTTCATTACAAAATTATAAAAATGGTATGCTGCTGTTTGACTGAGGATTTCAAACAGCTTCATTCCAAAAGGAAAATCCTCCCTGAAATTGATCAGATCATCCTTTCTTCTCTGCTGAAGGAGAATATCTAAAGGGGATTCATTTAACAGGGTTTCTAAGTATCATGTACTTTCTAGCTTGTTTCCCCTCAAATAGTAGATATTGCATTTCGGAATGATTTTTCCCTCTTATCAACAAAACTCTATACAGCTTTTCCAAAAGTAATCTACTCCTGCAATGAGCGCCTGCCTTGCTGTTCTTTTGATGGATCTTTTGTTTATTAGTGCTTTGTAGCAGGTGTTGCCATCTGAAATTCATTTGTCCTGCTTATTTTTGTTATTCATCCTCAGGCTGTAAATCTGACCAGCTCTCAAAAAAAGAAACATTTTTCAATAAGAGAAAATAAACAAATCACGTTCACCATCACAGCGAGTGCTGGACGACGGTAATGGAGTCAGGGTGCATTCACATTCCCTCCACGCACAGTGGGGAGTCGGGGGGGAGGGGGGGTGTGTGTCAGGGCGCCCGCCTCAGCATCAGCCTTCTTCCTTTTTCTTCCTGATCTCCTCCTTCCTCCCCTGGCCCTCGCTCCTCCTCCCTCCATCAGCTGCTTTCATTCTCCCTCGTTGGTAATGAGTCCTGCTGCCTCTGATGTCAAGGTGAGCCAGGCGGAGGGAACAATGGAGCTGAGAGAAAATGTCAACCTTGTTGCACGCGCGCTTGTGCGCGTTTCTGTGTGTTTTCTGTGTGTGTGTCCCTTCTCACGGGTTATTAAAGATACACACACAGAGCCCCTTTGAACCCCTGCAGAGGAATTAAGCAGTGCTGCCGCTCTAAAAGAGCGCTGTTCTCTCGTCCTCCCACTCCACCTCTTTCCTCTTTTGTCTTCCATTTTCCCTGTAGGGTAATCGCTCTCTCTCTTTCTCTCACTCTGTCTGTCCCTCTCTCTCTCTCTCTCTCTCTCTCTCTCTCTCTCTCTCTCTCTCTCTGTACATCAACATCTTGACAACCCCTTTCCCCCTCACTGTTTTGCTTCATGAGTGGTGATCAAAAAATCACCAAGGCTGTGTCTAGCTTGTGAAAACGTTTGAGATTCCAAGGTTGAGCCGAGCAAATATTGAACCGTCCATTATTTTGTCCTCTAGCTCTTTCTCCCTTTGATTCATCCACAGAAGGTGAACATTCCTGCTCTGATTCTGAGTGTTGTTAAGTGGTCTAGCCAATTGCCGCTCATGTCTAGCATGTTTGCTGAAGAGACTGCAGCGGCACTTTTTGACACTTCAGCAGCAGACGTGCGGTTCTTTGAGTAACTGACCTGCTTTATCCTTGCCAGACCTGGTTCAGATAGTATTTGCAAATACCTTACTAGGATCAAATGTGTTTGCCACTTCAGATGCAGCGAGTGGTATATGCAGTAGGGCAATTTACACTAAGTGGTTATAAAGAACTATTTTAATATGCAATTAGGGGATATTACCAACATTTTGGGTGCACTACATTTCATTCAACCTCCAAATAAAGTGAAGTGCTGTTCCTGTTCCCATATCTCAGTAATTACTTCATTGTTATTATCATAACTGATTTCCATCAAAATGATGACTGAAGCAATGAAAAGGCACCCATAAAGTAAAAATTCCCTCTAAAAATGAACATGTAATGCCCTGTGTTCAGTAGTTACTTCCCACTAAGCGGTCGCAGGGGAGTGTTTTAAATTCAGGCTTCTGATAAACATCCTAAACAACACTGCTTGAATTGTCCTGAGAACCAACACCACCCGCTGCGTTCTCCAACCAGCTTGAAAGGTTATTTGCAGATACTGTTGGGCCCTGGTCAGATCCTGAGTCTTCCTCATTGATTGAGTGTTCTTCTTCCTCCCTCCTTCACTCTCCTCTCTCCACAGGTCCCAGCTCTCATCGCTGCCCCGACACTCCAAGTTAGTCTGCTCTCTCACCTACTGTGTATTTCCCACACATGCAGTCTCCCCTCCCTGTTCACTCTCTCCCATTCCCCCGTTGCCCCCTGACAGACATCACAAGCCCACAAGCTTGTAGCCTCTGGTGCTCCAAGGATGCAGCGAGGTCCTCTCTTTAGCTGTGAACCTCCCACAACACCTTTTTGGTGTGGAAGCAGCTGACTAGATGGTTTCATGGATAGTTGAGCAGTGCGGACAGTTACTCTTGCTGTGCATTAGCCTTATTATCTATGACTTCACTCTCCAATTAAGCAACAACACGGCTGTAGAAGACCTGGGTGAACATGCACAAACACATACACACTGATGTTAATGTGCTCATAGGTTTCACCCAGGTCTTCTACAGCCGTGTTGTTGCTTAATTGGAGAGTGAAGTCATAGATNCTAGAAAAGGTTAGAACAGGTTAGGAGAAACAAATAAATACAGGAGAGTCAGGCAGGCGAAAATTCCGTCTAGGTCTTTAAGGGTTAATTTGAGGAAGGTTTGACACTATTATTTTGTGAGGCTTTCTGAATCCCCTCTAAAACCTCTATTTATAAGGCAGGAAAGGACACTTACTAGATAACATCAGGTTGTCACTTTAAACATATTCAATGTTGACTTTGGAATACCACCCTGTCACCGTGGGATATTAAATCGGATCTGTTCTTACCTCGGTCTGCACCATGGCGGGCCGCTGGGTGCGAAGCGTCTTCACCGTCTGGAAGAGGTCGACCACTCCTTCGTACCTCATCCTCTCCAGCACGATGCTGAGCGTGATGAAGACTCCGGTCCTGCCCACACCGGCACTGAGGACACACAAAAGAGTCTTTATAACTCCTGTCTGCTGTGTACTGAGAGGAGAGTCTGAACTGTGAGCATGTGACATGAATAATAAAACCTTTGTATGTATCTTTTGCCATTATAAGTGCTTTCCTGGGGCAAACAGCAATTTCAGTTTAAGAATACCACAAAGCAACCTCCTTTAAGACGATACATTCAGTTAAGGGAATATTTAAAAGATTTCTAACAACAAATTCACATTATAACCTTTATGAATGTAGGACTTATCACCAACCCAAGGCATTGGTCTGCATTGCTTTCAGCCAGGTGTACCTAATAAACTAAATATGGTCTTAAGAAAAGTTAAGGATCAAGGTGAGAGCAAATCCGAAATGTGGTTTACATCTCCGTCAAATCTTAATTCCCTTACTTGTTAAACACAATGTATATTAAACTCTATAGAGAACTCTGCTGCTGCACAGCCATGCTCAAATCTCAGATATAGCACCCCTCCTTAATGTGTACAGATTTGTGATAAACAATATGATTGATATGATCCATATTCCCCTCCTCACCTGCAGTGTACAGTGATTGGTCCGTCCTGTCCAAACTGTTCCTTGGTTTTGTGCACTTGTCCAATGAAATCAATGAAGCCTTCTCCAGTTTTTGGCACTCCTTGTTCGGGCCAGTCAGTGAACTGGAACTGGCGGATTGTTCTGGACTGTCCGTCCTGAGGGGGAGCGAAGCACAGAGTAAGTAAGGATGCTTTCTCTGATGCTTTTATTCATGTCTCTGAGCAAAGAACCCTCGGTAGTGCTTCACACATCTCTCTCTGCAGAGACACAAAATCAGCACAGCTCCTCACTCGATGTTCATGACTACCAGAGCCCTGCTGCTTTCACTGCAGCCTTCTAATCGTCTAATTTACATCTGCAAGAATATGAGTAAAGCTGAGGACCTGGCACAAGAGGAACTCAGCGGGGCTGTGGTACACAGAACTGACACACACTTAACTGCAACATGGAGTCACACATTTCACTGTGATGTCACCATGTGTGAAATTAAAGCTTTCATGTATTTTAGGAATGTATTTCTGAATGTTTTTCTCTCTTTATGTACAAACTGTATATATATATAAATATATGTGTGTGTGTGTGTGTGTGTTTGTGGAAGAAGGAGTGGATGTGGGATTAGAGTGCTGTGCTGTGGGCCCTCTGATGACAGTAAAGTATATTTATAGCCCATTGAAACCACTGCATCACAGGGAGTTGCAGTACTGGCCCTCGGGGATTGAAGGCTATGCTTTTCATGTATTTTCACAGTGATCTCGAAACACACACACCGAAACACACACACACACACGCACACACACACGCACACACACACACACACACACACACACACACACACACACCATCATCATCATCATCATTTGCTAAGGGTGGAGTTGGTGAAGATTCAGCGTCTATATAGTCTTTATTCTCAAGGCTCCTTCCAGTCCCGACGTGTTTTTGTTTTCCTTGCTCCCACCGAAGGTTGTGTGATCCCCACAGTCTCTAAGAGTTGCTAGGATAAGTGTCATTCACTTGGAGCAAAACACGCTGTTTGAAGATCATATGCACTTAAGAGTGAGGAGATGGGAGGGGCCAATGCTTTACAATGCATCTAATTGGTAACATAAAACAAGTTCCCTTTTATCTCCCTCTCTTAGTAAGTGACTCTTCTGCTTCTCATTAAATTGAGATGTTCCTATGCACCATTGATATCAATGGCATATCTGTGTACATGAAATTAGCTCACATCTTAAGATAGCTCTGCAAAACACTGG